CCAGTTTGACCTTTGACCTTCCCAGTTTGACCCTTGACCTTCCCAGTGCTCCCAGTTTGACCCCTGACCTTCCCAGTAGCTCCCAGTTTGGCTTTGAGCCTCATCCCATAGCACTGGGCCGACATTCCCGATCCGGCGTCGCTCTGGCTCCTCCCAGGAATTCCCAGTTTCCGGCTCTTCCCGGGAATTCCCGGTTTCCTGTTCAGGTGGGAGCCCCAAAATCCCGAATCCTGCGGCCAAAAAACCCCCAAAACCTGTTAAAGCCCAGCCTCGAATCCCAAAAAGTCCCCCACTCCAAAATCCCAAAAAATCCCAAATCCACATATCCCAAATCCCATTTTTCTCCCTCAAATCCCATTTTCCACCCCAAAATCTCCAATTTTTCCATCCCCAAATCCCATTTCTCCATCCCCGACTCCCATTTTCCATCCCCAAATCCCCATTTTCCACTCCCAAATCCCATTTTCCAACTCCCAAATCCCTGTTTTCCACCCCCAAATCCCTGTTTTTCACTCCAAAATCCCATTTTCCACCCTCAAATCCCCGTTTTCCACACCAAAATCCCAGTTTTCCACCCCCAAATCCCATTTTTCCAATCCCATTCCCACCCCCAAATCCCATTTTCCATTCCCAAATCCTCATTTCCCATTCCCAAATCCCCATTTTTGACTCTTAAATCCCATTTTTCCACTCCCAAATCCCATTTTCCACCTTTAAATCCCATTTTTCCCAATTCCAAATCCCATTTTCCGTCCCCAAATCCCATTTTCCATCCCCAAATCCCATTTTTCACCTTTAAATCCCATTTCCCACCCCCAAATCCCATTTTAAAGGGGTAAAAAAAAACAGGGCTAAAAAAAACAGGGCTAAAAAAAATCAGGGATAAAAAAACAGGGATAGAAAAATCAGGGATAAAAAAAGAGGGATAGAAAAAACAGGGATAAAAAACCAGGGATTAAAAAACCAGGGATAAAAAAACAGGGATAAAAATCAGGGACAAAAAACCAGCGATAACAAAAAACAGGGATAAAACCCAGGGATAAAAAATCAGGGATAAAAAAAAATACGGATAAAAAATGGATTAAAAAAAGGAATAAAAAATCAGGGATAAAAAATCAGGGATAAAAAAAAATAGGGATAAAAAATGGACTAAAAAAAGGAATAAAAAATCAGGGATAAAAAAACCAGGGATTAAAAACACAGGGATAAAAAAACCCAGGAATTAAAAAAATACAGGAATAAAAAATCCAGGGATTAAAAAAAACAGGGATAAAAAAAAAAACAGAAATAAAAAAAAACAAGAATAAAAAAACCAGGGATAAAAAAACCAGGAATAAAAAAAAAACAGGGATAAAAAAAACAGGGATAAAAACAACAGGGATAAAACACCAGAGATAAAAAAAACAGGGATAAAATCCCAAAAGATTCGAATCCAGGAGGAATTTTGGGAATGGGGGGGGGATTTTCCAGCACCTGCTCCCCGGGGGGGGTTTCCCGGGCTCCCGGTTTTCCAGAGGGATCCGAAGCTTTTCCCAGCTCCTTCTTCAGCTTCCGGTATTCCCGGTACAGCCCTGGGAGAGGGAACATTCCCAAGAAAATTTGGGATTTTAAAGGGAAAATTTGATGTTCCTGAATCCAAATTTCCCCCCCCTGGAGTCCTGGAATTCCTGGAATTCCAGGAATTCCCGGGGAACTCACGCCGGGTTTCCTCGGGAGCCGCCTCCACGTCGGCCTGGGAAGGGAAAAAAATGGGATAAAAAGGGGG